AGCACTATTACGACGGGTTCGTAACGATGATGAAGACATAACATTACATTTCATTTATTTTAAAATTTTAATACTATAATAATAAGAATTAAAATATTAATATTAATGAATAAATTAATAAATAGAACTCAAAATTTGATAAGAGAAAAAAATCCCCAAAAAATAATTCTTCCTTCCTTGATAAAAAAAATAAATAAATAAAAAAGAAAGATAGATTATGACTGATGGCTTGATTGTAAATATGGAAAACACAATGCGTTCGACACGATAATGTACTTTTACTTTCTATGCAAATATGTGTGTGTGTGTGTGTGTGTGTATGTGTGTGTGTGTGTGTGTGTGTGCCTTATAATGATAGCTATACTATTGGGAAATAGAAGAGATAAAAAAAGTATGGACGAAAGATAGAACTAGAAATAAATGAGTGAATGAACGAATGAACGAATGAATGAACGAACGAACGAGTGAATACATTCTGTATGCTTTGCTGATAAATACCTTTTAAATTTAATCTTAAGAAACGATCAATACTAATACTTCTCAAAATTAATCTATTAAAATTTTTTATTATAAATATATAAAAATATTTGATTAATAACCGAACAGAAGTTAATGAAATAGCTAGTATAATACGTACGTTAGTACGAATGTATGAATTTTGTTGTTGTTGAAAGCCTTATTGGTCAAGTCAAGATAAAATGAATATAAACCAAATAAAACAAATAAAAAAGATTAAACAGAAATATATATCAAAATAGAATAGAAATCAAATCGAAATAAATCGAAATAAACAAAAACAAATTTAATTTCATAATAGCAATACCAAGGAAAATATTTGATGTATGAGAGGAAAGTGAAATTAATGGAACAGCCAGCAGAGTACGAATGACCAGGGTATAAAGAGGATAGTGGTCTGCCAAGCTAGGATCACCGGTTTTATTTGGCCATAGAAACTTTTATTACGTTCCCTGTGACAATGAAAACATCCAGAGAATGCATTTCTATTTATTTTTTATTAATTTTTTACTTTCTTTGCTGACTTGAGCCTTCCAATGAAGGCCTTGGCTGATGTCCTGCTTATATCTGTTTTCCTGCTATCAATAATGAGATGGGAATCTATTTTGTTGCTGCTGCTGCTTCTGCTGCTGTTGTTGATGCTATTGTTGTGTGTTGTTGTGTGTTGTGTGTTGTTGTTGTTTTTGTTGTTGTTGTGTGTTGTTTTTGTTTTTGTTGTTGTTGTGTGTTATTGTTGCTGTTGTTTGATGTCGTTGCTGTTGTTGTTGTGTGTGCTGTTGTTTTTGTTGTTGTTGTAATATTGTTGCTGCTGTTGATGTCGTTGCTGTTGTTGTTGATTTTGTTGTTGTTGTCATGTTTTTATTACTCATATCGTTCTATTTTCAATATTATTCTTATTGATTTGGTTGACGCCTTTATTTAATGTAAAGAGGATTTCAAGATATTTCAATTTTATGTACGGTTGACATTCGAATTTGAATGTAGCGGATATTTTGAAGTTAATTTGTGTATGATAATTTGTGATATTTTTAATACTAATCTGTTCTATATGTGTATGAATTATTAATTTATTATTATTTTTATTTAGACACTTTTTTATTT